AAAGGTTGGGTCTGCAAGGGTATTAGATCTTTGGCGTGCCGAAGATAGCAATTCTTTCGCGTTATAAATGATCTCTCCGCTGTTATATCATATGCCCGTGAACTCATGTATGCGAACGATTTGAAACTTATTCTATCATACATTACTCCCCTACATTATTCTCGTCTACATGACGATCTGAACGCTATTCAACTTTGGTGTTCGGCCAATCAATTGCATCTGAATGGTTCAAAGTGTAAAGCTTAAAAAATATTGTCATGCTGGACAGAGTCAAACGCCTTACTGAAGTCACTGTAAATGACATAAGTTCGCATTTGCGATATTTAATCGTACTACACCTTATCATGTCAGTTATACAATCGATAATTCCCCATTGCAACGTATACTAACAGCTCAGGATCTAAGTAGGAGGTTAAATTGGGACCCTAAACTTCGGTTTGCCATCTTACTCCAGTTTCTTCTTAACCTAGGTTAACCAACCGTAGGACAATTCTCGGCGATGTCTTCCTACATAAGTTGATTTTTGGCGACATAGATTCCCCTTTTCTGCTAAGGCGTCTTCAATTCTCTGTTCCGTCCAGACCAATCAGAAATTATCGCTATCTACGTTCACAACAGACTACGCTATGCATAATGCCAAACGCGCTCTATGTAAAAATTACAATAGTTTGCATCACGTTTTCTCTACCGAAATATCTCTACCCCTTATTAAATCGTTGCTTTCAGGATACCTTCGGGAAGTCACTGACTATTCCCAGCTATGAGCAGGGGCATATCACGCCGGATAGGCTATAAATTTTCCCCCACCGGGTCGGTGATTTCCCATTACTTTTCAGTTTGTCCTATCTACTTAACACTCTATAAATCTAGCATACATATCTTTACTTTATTAACAATCTTCTTACTTTCTTTTTTTCTATTTATTGTATTTTCTTAATTAATATAGCAAATTAAGATTATGTTTAATTTTACTTAAAAACACTTTTTTCCTACTTACACCCTTCTTCTTAGATGTAGGCTCTAATAGCGTCACTGACAAAATTAGTTAAATTAAGAGGCATAGCTGGCCGGATTGGCAAATAAAACACCTCTATCGGTCGGTGATGCTATTAGAAAATTGTGGTTTCTAACTAGGCTCTTAGCATTTAATTTCCATTATGTATTGTATGTATAATTTATTCAAGAATGGGGAAGACACTAGTTTTGTCGACCAATAATAAATAATACATAAAAAATAAATACTGTATATTATTTTGTGTATAGAAAGAGGTTATAATGGTTTCAGATCGGTTTCTCGATTTATTGTTTCCCTTAAAAGAGTACTATCGTTTGGAGCAGTAAAGAAAATATTCTATTTATTTCGATGATTAGAATTTTTCGTTATCAGTATAACTGCCTTCCATATTTTCAATTGTTTACGTATTACTTCTTATTACTTAATACTTTACAAAATGGTCAGATCAAATTTAATTGAGAGGCTTCTTAGATATCAAATGTATTTATTAAATATTTTGGTTACTGATCTTAACATGACCGTCATACCAAGTCTTTAATCGGTGCGATATGTCTGAAAATGTCGGACGTTTTACTGCTTGTTCATGCCAACATTCCATCATTAAAGAATACACCGCCGTTGGGCAATTTTCTGGACAAGAGAGTAATTGGCGGGATCTAATTAAATGTATTACCTCTGGATTGCTGTAACCACAATACGGCTGAAACGACAAATTGTGATTAAAATAATGTAATTTGATCCAATGTGAAGATTATATATTATATTCAACAAATTTTAAGATGTACCTGCATTCCATAACTATATATTTCCCAAAGAACAACTCCAAAAGACCATATATCACTTTCAGTTGTAAATTTTCCATATAAAATAGACTCGGATGGCATCCACCGAACAGGAAGTAACGATTTTGATTGCACCCTAGGGAAAGATATTAATAATGGTATAAGGCCAAATGATAAAGTTCATTAATATGGAATTAAAAAATACCTGTAATAATCAGAACTGTAAATATCCCGTGACAATCCAAAATCAGAAATTTTTACAATCAAACCTTCATTGACCAAACAGTTTCGAGCAGCTAAATCACGATGAACATAGTGATGACCTGATAAGTATTCCATTCCCTCACTTATTTGTATTGCTATTTGTAGAAATTCCAGTTGTAATAATGTTTTTTTTTCAATAGGCGAATTTGATATTAGAAATTCATGCAAGTCACCATTCGCCATATATTCGAAAAGCATACAGTAAGGCTCTTTATTTAAAATCACCCCAAGTATGCAAACAATGTTTTGGTGCTTAAGATCTGATATTAATTCAATCTCACGCCTGAAATCTTGTTGTGTTTTAATTGAGGCGTTTTCTTTTAATGCTTTAATGGCAACATTTACAATTTTTTTGTTGGGTTGCGTTAGTTGCCCTTTATATACTTTTCCTAAAATAAATAAAAAAAAGCATAAGTTAGCAAAATATAAACATTCGGGAAGTACGTAAACGAATCTATTTGAATAATAATAAATGTCAATGTCCACTAAAAGTGCCTTGACGTAAGCTGCCTGTAAAAAAAAATTAATTCGCACACCAAGTTCCCGGAAATACTCTATTTTAATTTTGATCTGCCTATTATTGAGAAAAAGATACGCTTATAAGCACTTATAAGTCGCCCCATAAAGTACATACATATATTCTAGATCGGCATCAAAAGCCGAATTGATATATTTTAATGTTAGTTATTCTCCCTACTTTAAAGCTATAGTATGGAAAATTTTCATTGGTCTGGTCTGTCCTTTTGTTGCAGGCAGTTCATATGTCAGAGCCGACCGAATCAAACCACTATATTATATTGCTACCATAAAAACGATCGATCGCACAGTAGGTTCTTGTATGAAAATCTTTTTTGTTTGAAATCTATCTTGTCAAAAAACTTTGAAAATTATTTTGAAACTAAGCGGACGGTAAACAAACTACCCTCATACAAACGTTTTTCGCCATTTTACCACTGTTGCGAGTGGAATTTCACAAATTCTAAAACACTTACTATTTATTGAGCTCTATTCTAGTGATCTGAATATAAGCTTGATGCAAATCGGACAAAACTTAGTACTGAACCAAAGAAATCTTATTATCGCACTTTTTATCGAGGATGCTGTAATTCTGCGAAAAATGTGAAACATGTCTCAAATGATTTTTCATATAGATCCTTGAAATTAAATTTGACCGCGAAAGGTCATCTACCTAATCTTTGACCCCCATTGCCACCGAAGAGGAAACATTTTTGGAAAAGTGCGAAACAAATTAATATGAACAAAGATCTTTGAAATTGAGTTTAAGGCCGATCGGATCGGTAAACAAAAAAGTTTCATACAAAAGTTTTTCGTGATTTTTCCATAATTGCGGGTGAAGCTTCCCTTTCTTAAAGTGCACCTTCGTCACATAAAGTAACTACAGTGAACATTTCAGCTACCTAGCTCTAACGGTTTGGGCTGTGCATTGATCACCAATCAGTCAGTCAGTCAGGACAAACAGTTTTATATATATGGACATATTCAGCCAAACTAGACTTTTAAAGGCTCTGTAAGCTGCGCACAATAATTGCAAGACCTTGTCAACATTGGAATACTATATCATATATCTGAGTGTGTTATCTCTTCGCCATTCCGAAGGCATCCTTACTTTTTCGGTTATTATGAATTTTTAAACTCGATGCACTTGTACGAAAAATGAAATGCAAATGGCTAATGACACTTCTGCTAACACATATTAGGAACACATATATTTTCAAATTTATATTTTAATGGGAATAAGGATATATATTCTAAAATATTTTTATTTACCAAAAGCTCCCTCGCCCAATTCTTCAAAGAACTCTACATCTTGTAATGTAAAGTGTGGTATTCGCAAAAGTGAATTTTTTTCCATATTTTTAGATGGGATGCCTACAAGTTCAATGGAACTATTTAAATTCATTCTTCCTGTATCTTGGTTTGAGTTTAATTGTGAATTTCCATATATATTATTTCCGGCGTTTGGTGTATTAATCTGGAATACGGACAAAATAATTTGCAAATTTTATGATTTTCTTTACATGTATTAATAGCTTACGTACACTTTGTATATTTTTCATTCCACGAGAACTTTTCTTTTTTAAAATAAGAACTGAAGTTAGGACAACAGCTACAGCTGCCAACGCCAATATTGAAATTATTGTTAGCCAGAGCTTATCGACACATTTTGGAATATTGCAAGGTTCAATACTTCTATCTAAAGATTGGTCATCTACAAAACACCACGGGTTCTTTTCAACTTTTCCTGGGTTCCTGCAATGTGGATAATTAGCTTATTAAGTACTGTTCAAATTAAAATATATATTAGTGTGATGTGATAATATCTAGAGATATACATATATTTTTGGGTTGTTACACGAATCTGTCTTGCCTTGATCTTAATTTTTACCTTTTCAATTTCTAAATAGATATACTACCATTAATAAAACGAAATAGGGCAAAAAAGCCTTGCACTTCACTTTATAAATACATTTTTAAATTAACAGTCTGTTTGGTCAAGTGACCGGTAGAGATAACAGCGACGGTTGCGTGCAGTAACAGCAGAAGACAATAAACATGATTACAGCTTAAGAGCAAATTATGTTTGCTCTTTGTAAGTTGCTGCTTACTCTCTTCATCGGCCCTTTGCCTTCTGTTTTGACGCCCGCTGCCCATCGCTCTGAGCGGAGCTCAATTTCGTTTGTTTTGCATATAGTTTCGTTTTTTGTTTGATCGCAAGCAAGGCGCAACTATTTCGAGTTGACTGCCGAGCAATATTGATGCATTTCGTAAATTATGATAAGTGCCCTGTGCGGTAAATAAATACATTCGAAACAAAATATAAAACTTCGAATTTCGATGCACACACAGCAGTACTAGTTAATTTGTTGCAAAAAAAACTTGTGACTACACATTTTGGTGACCCGACGTGATTTCTTTCATTTTTCTTTATTACTCTTTCGTTTCGCTTCTGTTCGCATTTTTGTTTTGTAATTTCATTTTATAATTTCATTGCGCATATTTACAAAAGGTTGTGCGTTAAGTGCAGCGAGCCTCAACATAAAGTGATCAGTTTAACCAAGTCTCTCTAATAACTGTACTTAACCGCAATGCTTGTGCATATGCATACAGTTTGTCGTTGTACATAGACGCCGTAGCAAAATCGACGTTAATCGATGCGCGCTTTAACCGGCTTTGCGCTATCTCGCTCAAACAAACACTTGTGCGCGCAAATTTTGTATTGTAGTTCGGCTGTGTGAACTTTGTTGTGCGCTACATTAACAATGTTTTATGAAGTGCAAATGAAAATGAGGCGACATCTGCTTATCAAGTGGCGGTTGGAAAACAGGCTGCAGTTCTTAAAGTAAAGATTGAGAATTTAAGTGATCGAGGCAATAGATTGTCCTCTGAACTTGATCCCGTGCGACTACGCGATATTGATGACTACGAGCTGCAAGATTACATATGCATGGCATCTGACTTGCAGGCGAAATTTGAAAAATCTATGATAGTTTGTTGGATGTGAATCAGGCCAGCGTTGACGAGGATCTTCAGTCAAGCTTTGAGTCAACCATTGGGCGGCTACGAGTGTCCCTTCAACGAGAGCGCGGAAATCGAAGCAAGATTCAGCAGACTCCACATTTCTCCACTTTCAATTCCGCCGCAGCCGATGTTCCGCGCTCTACTTGTGTTGTTCCAAACCACTCTCGATTGCCTCAACTTAAATTGCCGTAGTTTAGTGGAGGCTACACAGAATGGTCTGACTTCTCGAATATTTGACCAACATTGAAAAACTTCAGCATTTACGGTATTGCCACAAAGGAACAGCGCTGGATACAATTCGCTCGTTGGAAATGTCAAACGCTAATTATGCTGCCGCCTTAGAACTACTTGATAAGCGTTTTAATAACATGCGTCTTGTTTATCAGGCACTTATTGCTGAAATTTTGGGTTTAAGAAAAGTGGATAAGGGTGCGACGACACAACTGCGCGAATTCTCAGATAAGGTCAACTCTCATTTACGTGCGTTAAAATCGATGGAAGTGTGGAAAAGATCGCCGGCTGCATCATAGTACACACACTGGTGCAAAAACTAGATAGCGCCACGCAAGCTAGCTGGGAGGATGATCCACCGTTGGACGTCATACCATCATGTGGCTTACAGCTTTCATTGAAAATCGTTGTCAGAGGCTGGAAAATGCGGATCACGCGACGGCAATGTATACGCCTGGCTCCCAGGTGGGCCAGAACAACAGTAGAAGAAGAACGTTTGTGGTGACCAAGAATGGAACAAATGGAACATATGCATGTGTATTTTGTAAAGCCGCAGGCCACTCCATTTATAAATATCTCCAATTCGCAAAATTATCGCCCTGGCTGCGGCTTCATGAAGCCAAACGGCTTGCGCTGTGCCTTTAATTGCCTGCAAAGGGGACATCAGCTGAGAGTCTGTGGTTCCAGCACTTGCAGAGTCTGTGGAAGCAAACATTATAGCCTGTTGCATCTTGGCAACACAAGCAGTCACAGCGTTGCTTCTAGCTCGCACAATGTTCAAGAAGCCGAAACTTATACGTCATCTTAAAACATCCTGGCGGCAGTTTCATCGTCGACACTCTCCATCGACCAGCTCTTAAGCACGATGTCGTCCTACTTGCCACTGCCGTCATCAATGTAAAAAATCGAGCTGGATCGTTGGTGCCCTGCCGTGCGTTGCTCGACTCTGGGTCGCAATTGCACATCATCGCCTCTCGTCTTGCTCATCAGTTCCAGCTGCGCAAATTCAAGTCCACAGCACTCGTCTCTAGCATTGGTGATGCAGCGTTTTCGTCAGATGGTTTTTCGGTAAACATCAATGTCCAATCTCGAGTGTCTGAATACTCCACATGCATCCCAGCATTGATTGCACCATCCATCACCGATAATCAGCCTGGCTTCACTTTTGACCCTGCACCATGGAACATTCCGTCAAACATACAACTAGCTGATCCTGAATTCTTCAAATCTCAGCAAATCGACATGTTGATCGGAGCCAGTCTGTTTTTCGATCTGCTCTGCGTTGGCCAGATCAAATTAGCTGCTTGAATGCCGATACTGCAAAAGACTCGCTTTGGTTGGGTCGCGACTGGAGGTGCTCCACATGCAGGAAAATCATTGCTCGTGGCTAGGCGATTAGTGATGAATCCAGATCTACTGGTAGACTCGCATCTGCAGACGAATGCACAGATTGACGAATTAATCCGTCGGTTTTGGGAGCTGGAATCTTGTACCGAGCCTGAGTCATCACCAAACGGGGAGGAGCGTGACTGCGAGGCACACTTTCAGGCCAATTTTAAGCGTCTGCCGACTGGCGAGTATTCAGTTCGCTTACCGCTTCGACTAAGCCTAAATCGGCTGGGTGACTCCTATCAACAGGCACTTCGTACAACATTTATCAAGGAATATCGTGACTTAAATCATATGTCACTTGTTAGTTTAGCTGCACTGGGCCAATGCAAATACTATCCGCCGCATCACTGCGTGCTGAAGGAGGATAGTACTACAACTAAGCTATGGGTCGTGTTTGATGGATCAGCAGCTACTACCTCTGGACACTACCACTACCTACCATACAAACGAAACTGTTTTCGATACTGATGCCCTCACAGGCGACATATGCAAAATGTATCGATGCGTACGAGTCGAACCAGCAGACAGCTATCTTCAATGTTTCCTGTGGCGTGATTCTCAGCATCAGAAGATACAGACTTACAAATTAGACACCTCACCTACGGCACAAAACCAGCATTGTTTCTCCCAGTGCGGGCTAGCACCAACTGGCCATGGATGAGCAGAAGGCATTTCCTATTGGCGCTGACATTATTAAAAGGGACTTCTACGTGGATGATCTCATCTCTGGTGGTAGCTGTGTTCAGGAAGCAGTTGAGATATTGAAGCAAACTACTCGCCAAGGGCAACTATATGCTGCGAAAATGGTGTTCTATCGACGCTACTATACGTCAAACATACCGAAAGAGGATTGCTTAAGTTCAATGATGGCAGCGATATCACGAAAACGTTAAGCCTCGTTTGAGATCCCTCCTCAGACTGTTTTCTTTTTTATTTTTGTCCACTGAGGCTACCCTTGAGACTGACAAAACGATCAATCCTCTCCTCAATTGCTCGTTTTTGGTCTTGTTGGTCCTGTAATAACAAAATCTAAAATTTTTATGCAGGATCTCTGATCTCTGATCTCTCTGCCTGCACACTTAAGTCAACTTCTGCGCTGATTTTAAGCAGACTCAGAGATTCCAGTAGACAGACAGCCCAGTTGAGATTCACGGATTTTGTGATGCCAGCCTGAGCGCTTATGGGACATGCGTCTATACAGTTTCATAGTGCCATGGCAACATAAGCCTAAGTCTCTTGTGTTCCAAGTCGCGTGTCGCGCCTGTGAAAACCATCACTGTACCAAAGCTGGAACTCTGCGGAGCTGCATTATAGGCTGAACTTCTCAGCGAAATCTGCCAACTGAAAGTGTTTAACTGTCGTTATTACTGTTGGTCAGACTCAGCTGTAGTTTTGGCTTGGATTCGCAATGATGCTTCCAAATTCAATATTTTCGTTACCAATCGGGTCGTAGCCATACAAGAGCTCACCACTGGCATGGAATGGCATCATATTCCCACTGAATTAAATCCGCTTTCCAGGTCTCCGTTATGGGCCCATGGCCCGACCTTTCTCAGAAAAGAAAAGGAAGAGTGAATCCTTGCCACAACTCCGACACAAGGTATTACTCGGAACTGCAACGCAACTTGATCTCTCAATTGGCTGCAGGTTCATCAACTCGTTCTCCAAGCTGCAACGCATCTTTGCTTACATTTACAAGTTTTTAAATCGAATCCGAGGATCTGAGCTAACTGTCAGCCACGTGCATCATGGCACACATCTGTTGCTACGGTCAGTGCAAATGGCTACTCTTGGCGATGACTACAAGGCACTGATGGAAGGAAGGCCCGTCAAACAGTTCTAGCTCAATGGCCTCTCTCGCGCCATTCTTTGACGACTTCGGCTTATTCCTCTGTCTGTCCTATTGCCTCGCCGGCATCCTGTGACCCGGGCAATAATAATTCACTTTCATAAACGGAATTTGCATGCTGGACCTCGCGCCGTATTGGCTTCGATTCGGCTCCAATACTGGCCCATTGGCGGTCGTAAAACAGTCTCTAGTATTGTTGCCAAATGCACAAGAATACCTCACAACTCTGCACTTGGCGAATTGGTGGCAGAACTTTGGATGAAATTGAGCTATGTGTCCGGATTTCAAATTGTATCGTCTGTTCGCTTTCTCATAGACTGAGTGAGTGCATAGTGTCGCTCAAGGCCTGCTTGCCAGTATGTAGTCTGCGTCATAAGCAAATGTTGTCCGAACATCCTGTGACCCGGGCAATAATAATCCACTTTCATAAACGGAATTTGCATGCTGGACCTAGCGCCGTATTGGCTTCGATTCGGCTCCAATACTGGCCCATTGGCGGTCGTAAAACAGTCTCTAGTATTGTTGCCAAGTGCACAATCTGTTTTCCTGCCAAGCCACGATAGGCAGAGCACATGATGGCAGATCTACAAGCTGATCGTCTCGACACATCGTATCCTTTTATGGTCGCTGGCGTTGATTACTGTGGACCATTCTTCTACAAGAGCGAAGTCCGCAACAGGCCTCCCGTGAAATGCTACATTAGCCTGTTCATATGCTTCGCTACAAAGACAGTACACTTAGAGCTTGTGAAGGATTTGTGTACAATACCGTTTCTAAATGCCCTAAAACGGTTCATTCTGACTCGAACTCGACCTTCAAGGATCTGGTCTGACAATGCGACAAACTTCGTAGGCGCTAAGAATGAGCTGCCAGATCAGAGCCGCCTGTTCCTGAGTGACGAGCATGTCAAAGCTGTTCACAAGTTTTGCCGATCCGGCTCAATTGAATTGAAGACTGCGAAGCACCATTCTTATCGCTCTGTCGGCCCTTCCATCTTGGACTTCGATTCGCTGCGCACGCTCGTCTGCCACATCACGGCAATTATTAATTCTCGTCCATTACTTCCACTTTCAGAGCATCCCGATGATCTAAGGAAACTTTATTTCAATCGGCTTAGCTATTTTCAGCGCGTCCCATACCTCCAACAAGTATTTTGGGCCCGTTGGCGCGAAGACTATTTAACGCTTCTTCAACAGCGCTCCAAATGGCGCACTCCTCAGCCAGGATTCTCCATCAACGACGTCGTCCTTGTAAAGGATGAGAACCTACCGCCGCTGAAGTAACCATTAGCTAGAGTTCTAGAGCTGACTTCGGGATCTGATGGGGTATCTAAAGTTGCAGTGCTTCAGACTGCGAATGGAGTCATACGCAGAGCCGTACGGAAACTGTGTTTGCTGCCAAAACAGTATGATGTTGAAAATCCCTTGCCTTCCAACGGGGGGAGGATATTTGGTCAAGTGACCGGTAAAGATAACAGCGACGGCTGCGTGCAGTATCAGCAGAAGACAAAAAACATAATTACAGCTTAAGAGCAAATGATGTTTGCTCTTTGTAAGTTGCTGCCTACACTCTTCAACGGCCCTTTGCCTCCTGCATTGACGCCCGCTGCCCATCGCTCTGAGCGGAGCTCAATTTCGTTTGTTTTGCATATAGTTTGGTGTTTCGTTTGATCGCAAGCAAGGCGCAACTATTTCGAGTTGACTGCCGAGCAATATTGATACATTTCGTAAATTATGATAAGTGCCCTGTGCGGTAAATAAATACATTCGAAACAAAATATAAAACTTCGAATTTCGTTGCACACAGAGCAGTGCTAATTAATTTGTTGCAAAAAAAGGCTTGTAACTACACAGTCATTTGTACATTTTGTGGATGGGATATTTGTACAAATGTGTATAACAGATAGAATGCGGCAGCTTGGAATCCATTAAGTACAGATAGTCTGTATATCTGTCTGTCCATCTAACCGCATGTATGAACGTTACGAAATGTTACGAAATTATTTCAGATAATCGATTACGCTTTCCAGTTTCAATGTAATCCATAAAAAATCGATATCGAATTCTTGTTTTTTGAATATATGTATCACGTATCTTTTTATCAACTATGTCAAACGACTGAATTGTTGGAATGAATTTCGGGTAGACGCGTCAACAATTTATGTTTTTTTAAACAAAGAATTATTTTTTTTAATTTAGTTGTGCTGCCAAATCAAACAAGCTCGTATCGCGAGCTGTCGAAGATAGTTGCGAGTTTCACACCAAGTTTTTTTTTTATAAATTTTATTACACTCTAATACATCTTACAAGCAGTTCTAATCGATTAGGTTTCCTGATCACTGCAGCGTCTTCCAGTGACAGTCAAGCAAGCTATCCAAACAATAAAAGTTAAAAACTATCGCAATAACAGCAGCCTTTTTTGGGCGCCAGATCACCAGAAAAACCTAGGTGACCGCATACTGGATGAGTTAGCCAGTAGAGTCTGTGGTCGTAGTTTTTGTCAGGAACATTTTAGATGAACATATTCGGCCTATTTTGGCGTTCGAGATACATGGTTCCGACGTTTCATTAAAAGCGTTTGGTGCATTTGTATAAATATGCAGCCGTACTGCAAAAGGTTTTCGTATTGTGTTGTTGACATCCAATTCGAACGTCGGCCCCCTCAAGGAGAACCCTCTTCCTAGTCTTAAGTTGATCTTTGTCATCGAATCAAAAATCTTATAAGATCCCCGATAGAACTGACGGTCTGATTTTGAAGTCTCTCTTTATTGGAGTCGGTCATATTCTTCGTCGCTGGCAATATTTGTGTTGAATGCAAGAATGAAAAGGGAACTCTAAATGGCACCAAGTATTCACGAATTAAAGCACAGTAGATATTAATTCAAGAGGCTATGATGTTGTCAACTAAACGTCGATGTGATTCGATAGGCCTCCGTTTTAATAGGAATAAAAAACAACCTGGCCGGTTAGCCCGCATCTGATGACAAATAAGATACTGAAATAACCTAGTCTAACGGTTTCTTTTGATCCGAAATGTCGTTAACATTCCTTTTATCGATTTGCTGGCTAGACATAGATCAACTAGGGGTAAGTAAGACCTCCATAAATCGAAGGGTCGGTTAGCAAAACAATTTATATTTAAAATCGGATGTCGGTTGCTTTTCGAGCACACTCAATAGGACATCTTGCAGAAACGTTCATCGCGAACAGATGTTAAGGTCCACCCTAAAGGAGCCTTCCTGCGATGAGTCGGCTATATAATCACCTGCCAACTCCAAAAATAAGAAGTTCACCCGCCTAACACTCATGTCTCACCCACCATTAACTTGCTACTCGGACATTATCGGTGTACTGCACGTATACATACATATCGTATTCACACCCTGGTGTGAAATATTCTCGACGGCATCCCAAGCAGCGTCTCGAGTCCATAGAGACTGAACCTATGTGTCCGGATTTCAAATTGTATCGTCTGTTCGCTTTTTCATAGACTGAGTGAGTGCATAGTGTCGCTCAAGGCCTGCTTGCCAGTATGTAGTCTGCGTCATAAGCAAATGCTGTCCGAACATTGGTCCGATACTGCTGTGTGTCGCGCTACGCAATGATGCCTGCATTTCGGGAAGCTGCTCGTCCCATAGGGTATGATGTGGCCAATATGAAAGCACAGACTAGTTCACTCTAACATACGCGGTTCGCGGTTTTTTAGTGAGTGATCCCATATTTACTCATGCATTCAGCAAACTCAATAGACGTGAATTGTCTGTCATTGTCTATGTGAACAATTTCCGGCAGTCCGATCTGCATAAATATAAGGTCACGTAAAAATTTGATAGCTGCCGTAATAGTCGGTTTTAGTATCGCTTACGGACAGACTAAATTGGAAAAAGTCCATAAATAATTTTTGTATTGGCTTTTCTGAGTTGACTTCCCCATGGGTGGACGAGTAACCTACGTCATGAGCTTTGTATTTTAATACGTTTCGCAATTGGTGAGATATTCTCGGAGTTGGACTGACATCCGGGTAAGTAATAGAATTATGATTCTGGCCTGTCTTCGGAATTCCACCATGCATCGCTATCTCGCCTTCATGCGTCTCTTGTATAAGCGTCGACGTCAACGCTTTCGGAACCCACAGTTTACAGCTGCCTACTCTGCTTAACTGGGTTCGTTCAAATAACAGTCCCTCTTCAATCCGTAAATCTTGAAACTTGTCCATCTGTTCTTCGATTACTTGGAAAGGCTCCAAATTGCCTTTTTTCCTAGATTTTAAAGGCTAGAGTAATCAATTTTGACGTGTAGCTTATAGAAAACTTTGCAGAAGTCCCTCTTTATGTTGCACGCAGCACATATGTCAAAACCAGCTGGATCGGACCACTATATCGTATAGCTGCCATAGAAACGATCGGTCGAAAATTAAGTTGTTGAATGAAAAACATATTGTTTTTCAAGATATCTGGACAAAACTCGGCATTTACTAGTTTTATTATGCTCCTCATATATAAGCAAAATCCTCTTAACATCGCACCACCTTGTCATATACCTGCCATAGAAACGATCGGCCGAAAATTAAGTTGGTGTATGAAAAAAATAAGTTGTTGTTTATCAAGATATCTTGACCAAAATCGGCATATATAAGTTTTACTACGCTCTTCATATAAATGCAAAATCCTATTATATCATATAGCTGCCATAGAAACGATTGGTCGAAAATTAAGTTGTATGAAAAATCTTATTTACATCGGCCTACTATATCATACATCTGCCATAGGAACGATCGGTCAAAAGCTAGGTTTTTCATTAAAAACTTTTTTTGTTTATCAAGATATCTTGACCAAACTCGCCATTAACTTTTTCCGGTGTGCTTCTTATATTCGGACAACACACTATAAGCATTATGAAAAGGTTGAATCTGCATAGGTATTAGATCTTCGGCGTGCCTAAGATAGCCTTTCTTTCTCTGTTGTCGATTTTATCAAAATCGTCTAAGATGTTGCACACGTTTGGTTATATTGTCAAGCCATGTGGGGCTGCAGCGCCTTGTGAAAGAATTTCTGAGTTAGTTCATAGTTACTATAATACAATGTTGTATTGCTAACCAGGCAGACCAAGCTGACTTTGGCAACTGACTCCGAAGCCGCAAATCGTCGCGGAGCCGTAATACTTGAAAGAGGCACACGCTCATAGCACATTTGGTTAAGACAAATCGAATATAAAAAGGTGATGGGAGACGGCAGAAAGTTAATATGGACGCGGCACACTTACAGGCTATTATCGCAACGTCAGTGCACTCAAGGCCTAAAGCTCCCAAACTAAAGATAAATAGGTCGATAGCAAAATCTGAGATTGGAGTGTATGAATATGTGACACTTGAAAAGGGTGTACTATGAAGTAAAAATAAATTTTGATGTCTATATAGTTAGATTGGGCTTTGTGTATGCCGAGAAGCGGCCGATTCACTAGATTCAGAAAGAACTTTGCACATTTAGGTTGGGCAACATGAACCTCTTGCAATTCTACGTCGATAAAAGCTCACTTGTTTACAAACAAATCAATCACGATGTTTTTTCTGGGTCAGCACATAAATTACATTTTTTAAATTTCGTCAGCCAATAATCTTTCACCGGCGACAAAGCTAGCAGGGATACACTCAGTGTATCATACGCGACTATTGCACCAGTAATTGTAGTAATTCCAATTAGTAATTTAAAAAGGTCAAAGTTGAATGGGAAGACTTAAAATATGCGTCAGCGTATAAAATATTTAACTCATGGGGACAATATTTCATAACCTAAGATCTAAATCAGGCTATCACCAATTAATCCTTGCTAGACCGTGAAAATACGTATTTCGAGGTCTGAAATAAATTATTTTGTGCGAAAGCATAGTAGCAAGACTTTAATGAGTTGTTGGGGATATTGGCGAAGTTTAAAAGTCATAAGAGGCCGTTATGCGAGTCTCTAAGGAAACTTTTTCAAAAAAACTATCGAAAACAAGGATTATTTAGTGTCCACTGCTTTAAAAACCAGATAGTACTGGAAGATGTATGCATCCCATTAAAACGTATTTTTGTTGGCTACCGTGAAAAGACCCGGTATCATATATATTGCGAAAATTGGTATTGCATCATTGACACCATGAAGCAGTGATAAGGTTCAACTTAGTAAATACCAAATATTTTGAGTTACCGATATTGGGCTGCATCCAGCATCCTTGTCGAAAAAGGGAACCCCTAGAAAAAGTTTTGGTACTGCCCAACTTTGTCCAAATTTAGGCAAGGAGATGCTCATAGAGCTGCTTAGGCAAACGTAAAGCAGGTATTTCGCAAATTAATATATACCGAAAATAACAAATTGGACAGAGGCCAAAGGCCAAATACGAAAGACATTCAAAAAGACAAGTGCTCAGCCCTGCCCCAGTCCCATCAGTTGCTGGGAAAATTATTCACATCAATATATTCTCGACTTCTTTCCTAAGCTTGCATGGAATAACCCATGACATCAACACTTGGTCGTGGGCCACAACTCAAAATGATAAATAAAATAAGAACAAGTAAAAGGTTCTAGTCGGGAGCTCCCGACTAGGGGACACCCTGAACTCTCTTCTTCCAACATCAAATGCATATATTCAATTTTAGAAGCTATATGTCAAGTTTGGTGACTCTAGCTTTTATTATTTAACAAAGTTTCCCAAAAAACAGGATATCGATTTCGATTTTATCGATTGCTTGGAAACGGAGTAAGTTATCGATTATCCGAAACAAACTCGATCTGCGCAGGCACTAGGAGCACCTACCTCTACAATTTTAAGTCTATAGCTCTTATAGGTTCTGAGATCCTTGCGTTTATAAATACGGTCGGACGGACGGACAGACGGACGAACGGACGGACATGGCTAGATCGACTCGGCTATTGATGCTGATCAAGTATATATATACTTTACGGGGTCGGAGATGCTTCCTTCTACCTGTTACATACATTTTAAATACGTTTTGCACAGATACAATATACCCTTATACCCATTTTTAATGGATTCAGGGTATAAAAATTATCCACAAATCGCAAAAATTTCAGTTTGATGGGGTGTTCCTATCCAACTGCAATTTTTGCGCTTTGTGGATTATTTTTCTAGATAGAATATAAAATTCGAATTCGAGGAAAAGGGGTTGTTAGTATTTATCTAATAAAATGCTGTGCATAAGAAAAAATAAAAGCAATAATAAATTGGAAGTAGCTGTTATTATAAGAGCGACAAACTTGGGGGAAGAAAACGGATAATTTTTTATATTTTTATACCCTGAAACCATTAAAAATTGGTAAAAACGGTATAAAACATTTGATTTATCCATGTCCGTTTGGATAGAGGAACCCATAAGAACTAGAGACTTGAAATTTGGCACGGAAGTCCTCCTAGTGCCCGCGAACTATGCGTTTGTTAATTGATTAACTGGCCATGTTTCCAAGTAATCCATACCAATTCATGTCGATATCTCGTTTTTTGACGAAATCTTTTAGGTTTAAGAGGCTAGAGTCACAAAATTTGGTATACAGCTTCTTGAATAGCATTATTTTATTATTTTATAACAACCGCCAACTTCTTATTGAATTCGTTTTTTTCATCAACAATGAATTAGTTTCAGGATTTACCTTGTCGGGAACACCCGAAGGAGACATCTCCGACCCCATAAATGATGTAGATTCTTGATCAGTTTCAAAAGCCGTGTTGATATAGAAAACTAGTATTTCAATTTTAAAGCTATCTAAATGAAACTTTCCAAAAGTGCCTTTTTCTGTTGCACGCAGTACATATGTCGGAGCCAGCTGGATCGGACCACTATATCATATAGCTACAATAGGAAGGATGGGTGGAAAATTAAGCTGTTTTAAAAAATTGTTTTCATGATATCTACAAATTCTATTAATTGAGATTACTAATTATTTAAGAAGCCTGATATTTAGAAACGCTGTTGTCCAACCTGAGTTTTCAGGAGGCAGAAGAGCATAAATATTTTAGGCCATCCTTTGCAAACGATTGAAGGGACATCTGATTATGAGGACCTACTTATAAAGAATTTTAAATATTTGTCGGAGAATTAATGTCATCTCCCTGCGAGTCGTCATTATTGGTCGCTTGGTCGTATGGATTCTGGTGTTCCAAACTCAGTCCTGGTGAATGCAGCGAGTCTTCGTTGCCTTTGTTGCTCATTATTCTCTTAAATACGCACACGTGACCAACTCCCGTCACACCGGAAACACAGGACAGCCACAAGAGAGAGAGACCAGATCTAGCAACGCTTACGAAGCCACACAGCCTCAATTCGCAAACTGAGTCCCCATTCTACCAGAACAAGTATCTACCAGCACATCCCATGGTCACACTTTAAAGTCTCATGCCTTTCGGGATGCTACAGTACTTCCTTTCCGACACGGCCATCCTGACATATACACGTCCTCGTTTCTACCATAATCATTTCAGTTTCATTCCAGCTTTATAATTTCATTGAATACTTCAGAAAATCTTAACCAAAAATTTCATATCATCACTATACTTCTATTTTTAACATGTCGTAGGTTATTTTAACATATGTTAGATTATATTCTCTTATAAAACATTTCTGTCATTTACATTTCCAAATCATCAATTCGTAATCCCAGATACATAACTAGGCTTTTATTGGGCAACTTTTAAATTCATCGCCAAACCTTGGCTTCACGAATTCATCAACCACATTGCTCGTCCATCGCCCAACACTTGGCTTCACGAACACTCTTCTGTATCAACAGACATTTCCAACATACTTTGTTCTTTGTAATTTACATCAAGCTCTTCTGGAATTTGCACGTCCGGTAACTTTCGCAAACTTTCGTGTGGGTTCTTGTAACGTCTATTGTTCTGTATAGATTTTAAAACGTATCGGTCCTCGACCACCAAAAGAGGGCCTCTGAACTTTGGATCTAATTTCGTTTGCTGTCTCTCACTGTTTTTAAGTTACAAAAAGTCACCCACACAGACCCTAATTAGCTTAGCCATATTTTTATCAAATGTTGTCTTCTCATATCTAGCGACCTCTTCCATGTTCTTAGCGGCCAACTCCCTTAATTTAATCTTGTCAATTTCAATTTCAATGTTATCAAAATTAGTAGGTTGAACGGTTTCACAAACGTTCACAACTTTAGTTTGAACAATTTTAAAGTTATCGTAAGAAACTTCCGCTAAAAACCCTTGAGCCAATATTTCTTTGCCAATTACAATATTATTTTTCATACATTCGTCTGTTACTATATGAAACAAAACAACCAAAGAATTACCATCAATCATGATGTTTGATTCAACTTGTACAGTTCTGTAAGTATTGGCATTACCTATTTCATTTAACGA